GAGAGGTTAGGTGAGGACCATTTGGAGGAGGGGGAACCAAACTTGCTCCCCACTCCCTCTCCAAAAAACCGGCCAACACACCCCTCAAACCTCCTCTTAAATCACGCCACATGGCACCACACTTGGGCACCAAGGCACCCAAGGTGGGCTGCCATGCGCGGCTACCAACAGGCCCAGCACGCTAGCATGCGCGCAATGGCCCATCCATGCTGCGTCTTGCGTGCATTGCGTGCTAGCTGCTGCATCTTGTTGCGGCATGGATGCTAGCCAGTGCACGCACAAGGCAACACTAGCAGCACTAGCACGCACTAGGCTGTGCCTAGTGTTACGGTGCTAGCATTGGTGCGGTAGCACGCACCAGCTAGCCTAGGCTCGGCTTGGTGCGCATGCTAGCCACCATGCTATATCAAATGCCCCTAGCACTTGGTTTGCTCGGGGCATTCCGATGCTAGGGGTATTTTAGTCTTGTTGATTTATTATTATGTTCATGTCTCATCTTTTACTATTTTTTGACTCGACTTCCAACGCTCGGTTTCGACGCTCTAAGCTCGAATTTCCCACGTCTAAATATTTAACACTCGGACGACAAATTAATTTCTTTCGAATTCATTCGTGGAGTCGGTTCGTATATTTGCTAGGGTATGACCCGAAGGGTTCAATCAAGATTAAGCTGTAATATTAATTATACATTAATATTACTGATCGGAAGCGGCCTCCACCTAGGCATTCCGATCACTTGACCTTACTGAATATATTAGCTTTCTAATAAATGTGAACCCGCTATCAGAATAATACACTTGTTCGAAGGACACCATTTCTTTCAAAAATAACGTTAAGGTAGAAAATAACAGGCTACAAAATCAATTCTTACACCAACAGAAGAGGTGCCTTGGCGTAGCAGCCCACGTAGCGTAGGGACAGACTCCACTCGTGACTCGCCTCGGTCACGCCAGCTAGCTCCGATAGGGAAGTCATGGACCGCTCCACAACGCCGTCGAGGGGCCAATCTCGAAAAGTACTCATAGAACCATAGGTGCAATGACAAGTAATCTCTAAGCACATGAGTCAAACAGATTAAAACAAAACAAGAAGAGGAAAGATTGTCACCTCTACGACTCTCCATAAACCGTAGACAGTGACAGGGGCCTGGTCACTCAGCTGCTTACAACCATGGTGTAGCGACAAGAGAAGATCGCCATATCCAAGGCTGGCCCAACTAAAGGATCCTATCTCACTGATCTTGACCAAAGAAGGAAGGTAGCACACGAGCACATGTGAACTCCTATCAGGAGAAAGAGTCATGAAAATGAGAATCAAAAGGAAGATCCGCACCCGCTGCTCAGGTGATGTCTCATCCATGTCAAAGCCACGGGCAAGAACAGAAGCCAAATCGGATCTCCCGCTCTTAGGACCACCTTGAAGCACCGGCTGAGTCCTGATGTACTGAACGACCGGACCTAACAAATCGGCTACCTCAGCCGCCCCCCAAGAAAGGTCAGACATCTGCTGTACGACCTGACTGGTGAAGCGTAAACCACTGATCATGCTAATATCCAGGGGTGTCACTGTCATCTCCCCCCAAGCAAAGTGAAAAGTGTTGGTAGTATCCCAAACACAACGCGCGAACGAATGTCGGGCCACAACCCCGGGGGCTGCAAAACCCTACGACTGCCGAATAAAAATCTACTAAACCAGCAGATTCCCACAAGGCGTTTGTAACAGGATCCCTCGTGATAATCCCATAACGTCGAGGAACCAAATCTCCAGCTCCGGATCCATGATGGCGAAGCGTACCATCGACTATGCCGGCGAGTGGACGCTGAGAAACGTGGTTCTCACGACAGAAAACCAACTCATCTGGCGTCCACGGAGGTAGAACCCACCTGCCCCTACTCGAAGAAGGGCGAGCCTCGGTCTCTAGGGCATCGTCGTCCATGCCCTCAGGAACTGTGGGAGTGTCCTCCCGAAAAGCCTGCCACGAGTAGAAAGATCGCGATCCCGTTGTCTAGGCATGCTATTACAAAAATAAAATTCTAAATGCTTTACATTATTTCCTAAGTTATTTAGTTATTATTCAAAAGCGGCTTAACAGTTACCTTAAGTGACATTTTCTATTATATGCAAAATTTTTACCTCAAGGCTAAAAATTAAGCAAAATAATGGAATTATTTCTAGTATTTAGTTTCTCCATGACGAACTTATTCTATGTTCTCTTAATTGCATGATACTATGTTATCCATGACAATATAGTACATATGCAAAACAAAACATGTTTCAAAATTGCACAAGAACGATAAATTGGCACATCATGGCATATTTTACACGATCTACAACTAATATATCATCATTTCAAGTGGAAAAGAACAACATGAACAACAAGAACACCATTTCACACAAGTAATACCAAAAAATGGTGATTTGCTCAATTTCTCACCAAAACACACAAACTTAGTCTCAAATTGCTCACAAACACACATAAATCCATATACAAGTCAATTCATAGCAAGAATTTTGACATGGAAGCTCAAAATTAAAAACCCCCAATTTGATTTTTTTAGGGTTTCAAGTAAATATGGAATTTACAATAAAATTTGAGACAAAGTAAAGGAAACTTACATAGATCCTTGTGAGAAATCAAAAATGAAGAAAGTAACAAAAAATTGGAACGAATTTGGCGGAGAATTGATCTCCAAAAGCTCGAAAAATCGCGGAATTTGTGCAGCACAACAACAGCAACCACCGCAGCACGGGCAGCTGACGCCGTGACCCGGTGACTGGGGTCCGTGTCACGGTGATTCTGGGACGATGGCGGAGCTTTGGCAGCAACAGTAGAGCTCAGGCAGAAGCAGCGAAGATGAAAATAAAAATGGTTCTTGCACACCGTGTCACGGTAACCTGAGCCGCGTCACGGTGATGGCTGACAGGCGCCGGTGCTGGGCTTCATGGCATGGTGGGCGGAGACGCCGAAATGAAAAAAAAAAATTGAGAAGAAAAGGTGAGAATAGAAGAATGAAAATGGTGAAGAAGAAGTGAGAAAATGGGGAAGGAAGCAATGAATTTAAAGCAAAAAAAAGTAGTCGTTATCCTCCTCCTTCCCATTCCACGTACCCTGTTACCAAGTAACGGTAAGATTTCAAAAAAAAATAAAAAAATAAAAAAAAGGGGGGGGAGAAAGTCCCGCATCACGGGGATTCCCCACCGTCTGACGGGGACAATCACTGTGTCGAGGGGTATATCCACGTGGCACGGTGACCGTTTTTTGTCTTGCACACTTCTTTTGACCTTTTGGAAAATACTCTGGCATCTTTGACTAAGTTAGAGTAATTTTCCGCAACTTTTGGTCAATTATTTTCTCATCGGAATTGCACGAAAACTTTTTATTTAGTATTTAAAAGGTGTCAAAATTACCGATTCACCCCTAACAAGCATTAGGGTTGCATTTTCTACATTTTAAGCGCCTAATATAGTCGGATAGTCAATTCAAAGATAAATCATATGCGGCCCTCGTTCGGGGATAATCGAACTATCATGCACTTGCAAATTTCAGTGATTACATCAGTCGTTAGTTTTCCTCAGGCATGGAAAACATTATCGGTGGATTTTTCTTAAAGTATAGAAAACCGTCAAGTCGGCTTTCCTCAAGCATGGAAGGCGTTATCGGTGGATTTTTCTTCAAGTATAGAAAACCGCCAAGTCGGCTTTCCTCAACATGGAAGGCGTTATCGGTGGATTTTTCTTCAAGTATAGAAAACCGCCAAGTCGGCTTTCCTCAAGCATGGAAGGCGTTATCAGTGGATTTTTCTTCAAGTATAGAAAATCGCCAAGTTGGCTTTCCTCAAGCATGGAAAGCATTATCGGTGGATTTCTTCAAGCATAGAAAAAACACCAAAATCATACGTCGACTTTCCTCGGGCATGGAAAGTATCATTCGGTAGGTTTCTTCAGGCTTAGAAAGCTACCAAATTCATCAGATGGCTTTCCTCAGGCACGGAAAGCATTTCAACAAACGTCATCCAGTAGATTCCGTCAAGCATAGGAAGCTGTCAAACTCATTTGTCACCGATACACTGGTGTCAGATACGTATTATATCCTTTTACTCTTTTATCTGTGGAACTAACATTTTTCTGCAGGTATCGGCGTATACAGAGTGATTTAGGATCGCCAAACGTCTTAAATCATTATCCGTCCCTATCAACTACTTTGACTATCGTTTTCGAAACTGACGTTTCTACAAACTCAGTCAAAGTGGGGGCTTCTGTAGACATCTAAAAATGTCTCCCCAAAACCAAACCCGATGATGAACAACCTTTCACCGCCATTGTTGGTCTGGTTCAGTATGTAATCCCGAGAGTGCTTAAAAATAGTATTTAATTAAATTCAATTTTTGAATAGTCCATGGATCAGTCTTGATGTTTAGTCAAAGCATAGTTCTTTTTTTAATTTCAGCCCAAACCTTTTTATTTTATTGTTTTCTTATTTATTTTGGCCCAAACCTTTTATTTTATTTATTTATTTATTTATTTTGGCCCAATTAATAATAATAAATCAGAAATGGTCCGAAATAAACAATCGGCACTTAAAAATGCCAAACGAAATTAGGGTTAAAAATGAATTTAGACGGAAAAAACGGACTAAATTCTCCCGCGTCACGGGAATTTGCCCTATCTGACGGTGGGATTCCCCATGACACGGTGCCCTTGCTGTGACACGAGGCAATTCCGTGTCCTTTCCGCGTAAACCCTTCTTGCGTTTTAATTAGGGCTGTCAATCGGATCAGGTCGAGTCGAGTTCGTGTTCAGGTAAGCTAATTTCGGGTCAGCTACCCCCTGACTTGAACCTGATCCATTTAAGGTTTTGGGTCGAAAACCTTAACCTGAACCTGATTTTTTCGGGTTCGGGTCAACCTGAAAATGACCTTATTTGACCTGATTTTTTTTGAGTTTAAATAAGGTTATTTGAACCTGAAATTAACCTGAATTTGACCTTAAACTGACCTAACCAAGTGAACAACCAAGTTTCAAACCACAAAAATTAATTGCTTCAAACAATCAAACCTAACAAATAGGAAATAGTCCAACATAAAACAACATAGTGTAACTACGATACCTAATTATCAATTACAAACCAAGTGTACTAACAAACTACAAACCAAAGTTCAAATATACAAGTTCTCAAATAACATTACAGGATTCAAAAGGGCTTTCTAGTTTTTCAAATTCGGGTGATATATGTGGCGTATCATTCTTGTTCTCCATCTCGAGCTTCATAATTGATCCACAAATCATTTCCAATTGAGAATCCATAGAATCTACAAAATACACAATAAAAAGCAAGTTACCATCAATAATACATAACATAAGAAATAAAATCATAATACATTATATATAACATTATTTACTACCTTCCCCAAGCCTAATCCCTTAAGAAAATGAAAGACTCCACTATTTCTAGCTTCAATGAACTTCTATAACAATCAAGTACCCGACTTTCGGTACTAAAGGCTGATTCAGAAGCCACAGTTGATACGGGGACAGCAAGAACATCCTTAGCCATTTGAGCTAAAACAGGGTAACGAACCGAACAAGTTCTCCAATAAGCTAAAATATCAATGTTGCTGGATCGAGGCATAAGTGGCTCCTCATAATACATATCCATCTCTGATTTCATAGCCATAGATGATTGCTCAACAGAAAAGTCATCAAAATCCTATAAAAACCAAATCATAGATATAAGATTTTATTATTATATAATCATATTATAAACAGATTAAAACCAGATTATATAAAACAGAATATAATCAGATTATATAAACCAGATTATAATCAGATTATATAAATCAGATTATAATCTAATTATATAAATCTGATTATATATATCAGATTATATAAATCAGATTATAGTCAGATTACATAAATCAGATTATAGTCAGATTACATAAATCAGATTATAGTCAGATTACATGAATCAGATTATAATCAGATTATATAAATCAGACTATAGTCAGATTACATAAATTAGATTATAGTGAGATTATATAAATCAGATTATATGAGTCAGATTATAATCAAGTTATATAAATCATAAAATAAATTACAGATTATAATGAACATATAAAAATCAGATTATAAAAATCAGATAATAAAAATCAAATTATAATGAACTTAAGAAAATCATATTATAAAAAATTAGATTGTATAGATCAAATTATATAAACAAAAAAATCAATTCGTATAATCCATTCGTATAATAAATAAAAAAATCAATTTGTATATTCCATAACAAAATCAATAATTCAATTTGTATAATTAGTATAATTCTTATATCAATTCATATAATTACATAAAATCAATAACTAGCATGAAAATAACAAAATCAGTTCATATAATCTACAAAACAATTCGTATAATTACATGAACTAGCATAAATTCGCATAAATGTATAAATCAACTAGTATAATTACATAAACCAGCATAAATTCGCATAAATTTGCATAAATCAGTTCGTATAATTACATAAACCAGCAGAAATTCGCATAAATCCATAAATCAACTCGTATAATTACATAAACCAGCATAAATGTGCATAAATCGATTCGTATAATTACATAAACTAGCATAAATTCACATAAATCCAAATATTAACTCGTATAATTACATAAACCAGCATAAATTCGCATAAATCAATTCTTATAAACTTGTAAAGTAAAAAAATCATTCGTATAAACTCATAAATTAAGAACAATTAGCAAGAAAATAATTAAGAACAATAAGCAAGAAAAATATTGTATGAGAGTGAGAAGATAACAATTGTAGTCGAATTCAACAATTGTGAAGAATTGAAGAACTCTGAATCAACAATGGTGAAGTGATTTTAGCCTTTTAGGGTTTTTGAGTGTGCCGTTTTTGAGGAGTGAGAAAATTACAAAGAGAGAATAGAGAAGTGGGTATAACGGCAGATAAAAAATGAGGGTAGAAAATGAAAATTTAGGGTTTTAATTTTATATGTGGAAGCCTCTTAGGAATTTGGGCTAGGCTTATTTACATTTTAAAGGATTTTACGATTTTTTTTTACTTAAAATATTTCGGGTTTTCAGGACGGGTTCGAGTTGACCCGACCTGATTTTGACCTGAAAATTTATTTCGGGTTAGGTGGGTCGTTTTCGGGTTGAGATTTTCAACCTTAACCTAGCCCATTTAATTTCGGGTTCGGGTTCGTGTCAACCCATTTAAGTTTTCGGGTCGAAAATCTCAACCCTAACCCGCTTTTTTCGTGTCAAGTTCGGGTCGGGTCAGTTTTTTCCAGCCCTAGTTTTATTCCTCGTACCCTAAATATTTCCCGTGTCACACAGCTATCCACCGTATCACAGGAACCTGTCCCATCTGACGGTGCCAGGCATCGTGTCACGGTGCATTTTTTTTAGGGTTTTTATTTTTTTTGGGTTCCGTGTGTTCCCTCAGCACATTTTTTCTATAAATACCCCCTCATTTCTGATGTGCGGGGCATCAATTAATTCTCTATTTTTTCTCTCCTCTTTGCTCTAGCCTAAACATTAGCCTACCCTTCTTCTTTTAAAATTCCTTCTTCAAGCACTCCAAGGACTCCATACTTTACTCGTGGTTCTGTCCTTAAGCCAAGGCGTGAAAGGTAGAAATGTTTGAGGGTTGGGCCCCAAATCAACTATATTTAATTTAATTTAATTTAATTATCATATTATTATTATTTCCTTAAAGTTACTAACTCGTTTATTATTTTATAGTTGCAAGCAAACAGAATCAAAGTAAGAATTATGTTCCTTTTATTTCTATTATTTTTTTAACGATTTTATATTGTTAGATTTATTGCTAAATTGCTTCTAATATTAATGTTTATTCTGTTATTATAATGATCACTATATTGCATGTTTAAAGGGAATATGTAATTGAAAATAACGACTAATAAGATAATTTGGACAACCGGTTTAGGTTCCTTTTTAAGCATGTTATATAATTCAAGTGATCACAAATATTTTAGAATTATGTATTGCATTAATATTTAACTTATTTAGCTTAATAATAGTTTGGAGCAAATTGAATCTCTATTTGTATGCCTTTGAAATCGCAGGAATGCTTTTCTTTATAAGAATCGAGTAGAGGCCAATACGGGTGAATGTGACTCCATGACTCACTTCGTACCATCATCCCCGATCATCCTTTCGTGGTTCCGAACCATATGGAGTTAGTAGTCTCATGGATTATGAATGGGGTGTAACCTTCATGGGTCAATCGTTGTTGCCTATCGTTGTCCCTTAATCGTGGTTGCCTTTTTATGATCCGTGAACGGTATACAAGTTCCTTAAAAAAACTTGTTGGCGGCTCCCTACTTTATTTGTCCCTAATCGTATATGTCAATTCCCACTTCCTATGAGTGCCAAGCATATTCACACATGCTTTTAACGTATGCGCACTTCGAACGACGCCTAAAAAGCTGTACTTTATACCCAATGCTATCAAACCCGTATGGCTAGGCACTTTAATAAGAAGGTCAAGACAAGAAACATCAAAGTAGGAGACTTGGTGTTAAAAGCACTAAGGAAAAATGTTTTGGATCCAAGAGGCAAGTTTAGGCCTAATTGGTCCGGACCCTATATTGTTAAAACCACCCTATCAGGAGGTGCAGCAAAACTTACTGACATGGATGGAAATGGGTTCTCAAACATGACGAACCTTGACCAACTTAAAAAGTATTACCCATAATTACTTGAATAGGACACTCAAGAGAGCTACGTTTGTCCTGATTCCTTAGGAAAAGATACGTAGGCAACCCTTTACAGGGTGCGGCCACTTTAATTTTCGCAAACCCCGCATCCCAGAAATAAAAGGAAATTCGACGAAATAGCAGCGCCACAGAAAGATGTCTGTCGCCGGTCGACAGACTGCAGCGCAAAGTGACAGCGCTTGTCGCCGACCGACAGATAGCAACGCCTGGCGACAGCTGCAAAACGGCGGCGCCGTTTTTTGTGAGTATCTGGGCAATTTTCGGTGTTTTTCAGAAAATTTTCGACTTCCGTACTCGAAAAAATTTCTGGAAAATAAAATAATTTAATTTGTTTTCATTGCTTTAATAAAATAAATTTAAAGAGCTTGATTTAATTAAAAACTTGAAATTTCATTAATAAAATTAAATAAAAAAATACATTATTGATGGAATTTAAATGAACGCTTAATAAAACAAATTAACTTTAAATTTAAAACTAAGTCTAATAAATTGGAAGTTACGCAATACTTCAATCTTTCTTTTCTTTCTTTGCTCTTTTCAAATTTTTATCTACATCCTCTTCATCATCCATGACTTTAGCTAGTAGGCATCCTTTAGAGGACCTACATTCAATTTTAGAGTAAATGGTTTCTCCCTTAGCTAGGACCCCACATGTTTCTTTTCTACCCAAACCTTCTTTTCTGAAGTGTCAGCTTTTCTTTTCCATTTATCCTTTGTAGAGTCTTTCTTCTTAGGCATCACAGGTATTTTGAATTCAATCTGTTCACCCAAGTGTTCCTTAATAGGAATCACTTTGTCACCCAGACGATTCTTCACATTGGTTTTACTCTAATTTTTCTTCATGTCCTTTGAAGGCTTATTAAGAAGCCATCTCTTCACATCATTGGGCAAAGAAGGAGGAACCTTTTGGGCAATCACTTACCATAAAGGCCTAGCACTTGTTAAATTTTTCTACCTCTTGTGAAACAGGGAATTCATAGGGACAACGGAGATCCCTAGAAGGAATTGTTTGAAGTAAATCGTACTGTCTTTTTACCCTGCAGGGATAATAAAAAGTCATCTTAGTTAAGCTTGGAAGACAACAGAAGGGTTGCTTGTTGACACCAACCATCTTCTCTATTTTCCACCAAGGGATGACCCACTTGATAGCAAAGTTCCAAGAAGCAAAGACTTTGCTCCACTCATGGCGCCCCATCTTAGAGAAGCGTTTCTTTTGCCGCACAAAACAATTTGGAGTATATTTTTCAATATTGTCAGGAGGACTAATTAATTCTAGTCTTTCCATTAGCCATATCTGCAAACAAATTTAATGCAAATAAATTAATATTACTATACAAAAATATGTTTTTGATTCTTGTAATTAAAAATATTATTTTTCTACCTGTAATAAATTGGAGAGCCCCGAAAAGTGCTTTGGGATTTTTCTTTAATTCATCAAGACTAAGCATAGTCTCTCCAACAATTAATGGCATTGGATTCCTTCCAGATTCAATTTGCTCCAAAACAGTTAATATAATTGCTTGACCCTCACTAGTTCTACCACTAGTGAGAAGATATTGGTTAAGCATGCAAAAGAGAAAAGCCCTTCTTTTATAAACATGAAAAGATTTAGAATAAGGTCTATCAAAGTAAAGGCGTGCAAATTCTTTTAGATTAACTACACTACCATCTACAATATTTGTTAGATCTATGTCTCTTAAATTAGAGAAGCGCACAAAATCTTTATAATAATATTCATTTATTCTAGGGATTACCGCAAGATCTAATGAAGGGAAGCCTAGGATGGCACCAAATTCTTCCGGTAAAGGGCTAATTTCATCACACCCTAGTCTAAAACAATGTGTACCTGTGTCCCAATATTGTAAGGCGTCATGAATAAAATCGATATCAAGATCTACCCCTCTAACACCATAAATACCTCATATTTGAAAAAATTCGAGTTCTTTTCTCTCTTTAGCAGTCAAAGATCGACACCATTCACGAGTGAAATTGCTAAAACTTTTAGTAACTAAAGACATGATTATTTGTTGAGAAACTAAGATAATAATTAATCTGTTCGAATTATACAGAAATTCGACAGATTAGGGGGCTATTTATGCACAAAAATCGATGCAGTTTAACTTCGGAAAGGACTCGGAATCAGCGCACTGCAGCACCAAACGACAAGCCTGTCGCCAGAGTCTATCGCCTGGCGACAGCAGCAGCGTGATAAGCCTTCTTATCATGGGTTGAGAGAAGCATTTTAGGGTGTGTTTTGATGCTTTATATGTACTTTTGTTAGCTTTTGTGAGTTTGGGGCTGTGATCTCACTTATGTGCAAAAGGCGGGATTTATGAGTATAAGTGAGTGAGTGAGCTCGGGAACCAATGAAGAGTTATGTAAGAAGGATGGACCTTGGCTCGTGATTTGAGAGTTGTGATGGAGCATGGAAGAGCAAGGAAGAAAGCTTGAGGAAAAGGTGAAGCAAAGCAAGAAGAAGAAGCAAGGAAAGAAGGCAAAAACAGCAGGAACCGCTGCCAGGGCCGCTGGCAGCTGGCCAGAGCCGCTGGCAGCGGGTATACCAGAGTGAGGGGCTGCCAGAGCAGCTGCCAGCGGGTCCAGAGCAGCTGGCAGCGGCTCTGGCAGAAATTCGGGTTGTTTTGGTTAATTTTCAGCAATTTGGCTTTGTTTTGGCTCGTGTTTTGGATATTATTTTATTATTATTATTGTGTTATGTTATTAAAATATAGAAACATATAAATAGCTTAGTTTTAATTAAGTTTTAAGTTAGAAAAGGAGAATTAAGTTTTGAGAAAAAAAAGCTTTCTAGGGTTTTTTTAGAATTTTCAGAATTCTTTGTTTTGGAATTAGAATCCATGGAAGCTTAATCTTCCGGATTCTTGGTTAAAGATTGAATCTTTTAGCTACGAATTGTGAGATCTTTCTTCTCTTAATATCTATTGAATATATATTGTTCCTTGAATTAATTTCATGATTTGCTTTAATCAATTGCTAGGTTAGAATTATTGGATTCGCTTGCATCTAATTAATCTTTCCAAAGTAGCAAATTTAAGTTATTGATGCATGCTTTTGGTTGATAACTTGAAGAGGGAATAATATTATTGAAGAAATTAGACCGCTTGTGTTAATTTATTCAATCCTTGTTGATTTCTCCGTTTATTTTCTTCTTGTGGATAATTTAGAGCGCTTGTCTTGAATTGTGCATTGGAAAGGGTTAGAAAGGAGCGCTTTGCTATTTCTAACTATTTATGAGAATTTAGAATCTAGGAATTCTACAACAAGGTGTTCAATAGAGCTTGATTGAGGAGACTTCTATGATCAATTTGTATGTTCATTAGTGGATTTCGCATAACCAAGACCGTTCTTCTCATTGATTACCTATTCATTACGTTCGTTGTTCTTACTTAGTTCATTTATCATCATTGCTCATGAAAACCCCCCTCGTTACTTAGGTTACTACCGTCCTAGAGTATTTCCACTTAGGTTTCCAGTTATTAGTCCCTTTTTCCCTGTGGATTCGAACTCGACTTCCCTAACTACGTTTATTTGCAGTTAGCTTAGTTGTGATATTTTTGGTTGCATACGACTGAGGCACACCAAATTTTGGCGCCGTTGCCGGGGACTTAAGGCGTTACTTTTTAATTGTTTATCTTAGTAGAATTTATTTTAGGACTGTTCTTAGCTATCTTTCTTTGTTTGTTCGCTAGGGTATGATAAGTACCCGTTCTGCTAACAAAGAAGTTTTGCAGTTTGATCCAGAAATTGAAAGGAATATTTCCAGGTTGCGTAAAGAGGCAAGAACAACCCCCAGTGAATCAACATACTCCTTCAATATTCAAGAAGAAGAGGAGATGGCTGACAATCGAACTCTAAGGGAACTCACAGCTCCCAACTTGAACCAACAACCGTTGTGCATTGCATACCAGCAGTTGGAGGAAGGTACTAATGTTGAGATCAAATCCGGTCTAATTCATCTATTGCCGGCATTCCATGGCATGAAAGGCGAAGATCCGAATAAACATCTGGCAGAATTTCATGTGGTTTGCACTAGCATGAAACCGATTGGGATGACTGATGAACAAATTCAGTTGAGAGCATTTCCTTTTTCTCTCAAAGATGCAGCAAAGGATTGGTTTTACTATCTTCCCCCAGGTAGCATAACAACTTGGGCAGATTTAAAGAAGTGTTTCCTTGAGAAGTACTACCCAGCCACTATTTCTGCAAGCCTTAAGAAAGCTATCAGCAATGTGGATCAGAAGGAAGATGAATCCTTGTATGAGTATTGGGAGAGATTTAAGAGATTGTGTGCTAGTTGTCCTTACCATGGGTATTCCGATCAAGACCTCATCCTATACTTCTATGGAGGTCTAACTGATGATGACTTGAGTATGGTGAATGCAGCAAGTGGTGGAGGGCTAGTGAATAAGACTCCAGGAGATGCAACTAGGTTGATTGCAGAGCTAGCAGAAAATTCTAGGCAATTCAGTCAGAGAACTCCCACGCGCCGGGTGAATTTAGCAAATTCGAATACAACTGAGTTAGAGAGTCAAGTAGCTGATTTGACTTCTATGATGCGTGAGTTCATGGTGAACTCAAGGAATCCACAGCAACTGAATGCTTGTGGTTTATGCACCTCCATGGGACATCCCACTGATGCATGTCCTCAATTACAAGAGGAGCAGAATGAGCAGGCCAACGCCTTAGGTTTTCAAGGGCAAGGTCCGCAGAGAAGATATGATCCCTTTTCAAATACCTACAACCCAGGATGGAGAGATCATCCAAATTTGAGATATGGGAATTCCCAAGGAAACCAACAACATCAGCATGCTCAAGGTCAACAACAGTTTCAGCAATATAGGGCACCGTTCCTAACACCTCAAGGCCAAAGCTCTAATTCAGGTAATATGTCAACTGAAGAAATGATTAGATCACTAACTTCTAATGTTTCTACCATGCAGCAGAATATGATGCAGTTTCAACAAGAAACCAGATCAAGTATTCAAAACCTGGAGAATCAAGTCAGTCAAATCTCAAGTGCAGTAAGCCGACTTGAAGCTAAGGACTCTGGAAAGCTTCCATCCCAAACGGAGCTGAACCCTAAGCAACAAGTTAATGCAATAACATTGAGAAGTGGCAAAAAGTTGCAAGAAACTGTAGTTGCACCTAAGAAGGCTAAAGACTTGATTGGAGTTGAGGAGGAGGAAGTAGAACAAGAAACTAAGGCGAATCCGCCAACCTTTACCTCTTATGAGCATGTGCCACCTTTCCCAGAAGCCTTGCAAGATACTCGAAGGTATGAGAAAGACAAGGATATTTATGAGACTTTCAGCAAATGTGAGGTAAATATGCCCCTCTTGAATGTGATTAAAAGTGTTCCTCGTTTTGCTAAGTTTATGAAGGAACTGTGTACGATCAAGAGAAAGCACAGGTTGGGAGGAAAAGAAAAAGTGAAGGTGAGTGCTCATGTTTCTGCAGTTTTCCAAAAGAAACTCCCAGAAAAATGTGGTGATCCTGGTATGTTTACTATTCCTGTTACAATAGGAGACACCACATTACACCGAGCCATGTTGGACCTAGGTGCATCAATCAATGTCATTCCCTACTCCCTGTTTAAATCTTTAGAACTTGGGCCTTTGCATGAAACTGGGGTAGTAATTCAGTTAGCTGATAGGTCCAATGTATATCCTAAGGGGGTAATAGAAGATGTACTTGTTAAGGTTGATGGATTGATCTTTCCTGCTGACTTTTACGTCCTTGACATGGAACATGACAAACAAGCAGCCCCCATCCTGTTAGGAAGACCTTTCTTAAAGACTGCTAAGACAAAAATCGATGTGTCTACCGGTTCTTTGACTATGGAGGTTGATGGGAAAGCAATTGTGTATAACATTTATGATACCATAAAGTATCCTGTTGATACTCATTCTTTATATTCTATAAATGTTGTCGATCCAATATTGCATGATGTTTCTAACATTGATCATGGGGATGAGCTCCTCACACCTATTACTAATGTTGTGTCTGGTGATTGCTTGGATTCTTCTATACCTACTAATGTGCAGGTGAAGGTGGCGGAATTGAATGAACAGTCCAAGCTTCCACCTATACCACTAGGGGCAACACCCACCCCGTCATCATTTCTGGGCAAGAAATTATCCCAGGTATACCACAAAGCAAAGAATAAGGTGTGGCATGACAAGATGAGCTCCCGTTGGAAGGGTCCAATTCAAGTTGACAAGGTCTATCCGCATGGAGCGGTAGAAATTCGGAGTTTAGAGACCAACAACATGTTCAAAGTGAATGGAAAAAGGCTTAAACCATACTACGAAGGGTTCAAGGTCGAGAATTTGGAGAACATCGATCTCTACGAGCCATCAATTGATTAACGAAGTTTCATGAGTTGTGTCGAGCCAACGACGTAAAACAAAGGCGCTAATCGGGAGGCAACCCGAAAACTCTTCCCCGTTTTCATTTATTTTAGTTTTTATTGTTTTTGTTTTGATGTACCAAGTGCTTTTGGTGGATTTATGTAGGAGGATGCTTTGGGAGTACGTATTGTGAGCAAAAACAGAGCAAAACAGGTAAAAACAGACTTTGGGAGGCAGCCCCTGCAGGAGCCGCTGGTAGCGGGCTGGCTTCTTATCATGGGTTGAGAGAAGCATTTTAGGGTGTGTTTTGATGCTTTATATGTACTTTTGTTAGCTTTTGTGAGTTTTGGGCTGTGATCTCACTTATGTGCAAAAGGCGGGATTTATGAGTATAAGTGAGTGAGTGAGCTCGGGAACCAATGAAGAGTTATGTAAGAAGGATGGACCTTGGCTTGTGATTTGAGAGTTGTGATGGAGCATGGAAGAGCAAGGAAGAAAGCTTGAGGAAAAGGTGAAGCAAAGCAAGAAGAAGAAGCAAGGAAAGAAGGCGAAAACAGCAGGAACCGCTGCCAGGGCCGCTGGCAGCTGGCCAGAGCCGCTGGCAGCGGTTATACCAGAGTGAGGGGCTGCCAGAGCAGCTGCCAGCGGCTCTGGCAGAAATTCGGGCTGTTTTGGTTAATTTTCAGCAATTTGGCTTTGTTTTGGCTCGTGTTTTGGATATTATTTTATTATTATTATTGTGTTATGTTATTAAAATATAGAAACATATAAATAGCTTAGTTTTAATTAAGTTTTAAGTTAGAAAAGGAGAATTAAGTTTTGAGAAAAAAAAGCTTTCTAGGGTTTTCTTGGAATTTTCAGAATTCTTTGTTTTGGAATTAGAATCCATGGAAGCTTAATCTTCCGGATTCTTGGTTAAAGATTGAAGCTTTTAGCTACGAATTGTGAGATCTTTCTTCTCTTAATATCTATTGAATATATATTGTTCCTTGAATTAATTTCATGATTTGCTTTAATCAATTGCTAGGTTAGAATTATTGGATTCGCTTGCATCTAATTAATCTTTCCAAAGTAGCAACTTTAGGTTATTGATGCATGCTTTTGGTTGATAACTTGAAGAGGGAATAATATTATTGAAGAAATTAGACCGCTTGTGTTAATTTATTCAATCCTTGTTGATTTCTCCGTTTATTTTCTTCTTGTGGATAATTTAGAGCGCTTGTCTTGAATTGTGCATTGGAAAGGGTTAGAAAGGAGCGCTTTGCTATTTCTAACTATTTATGAGAATTTAGAATCTAGGAATTCTACAACAAGGTGTTCAATAGAGCTTGATTGAGGAGACTTCTATGATCAATTTGTATGTTCATTAGTGGATTTCGCATATCCAAGACCGTTCTTCTCATTGATTACCTATTCATTACGTTCGTTGTTCTTACTTAGTTCATTTATCATCATTGCTCGTGAAAACCCCCCTCGTTACTTAGGTTACTACCGTCCTAGAGTATTTCCACTTAGGTTTCCAGTTATTAGTCCCTTTTTCCCTGTGGATTCGAACTCGACTTCCCTAACTACGTTTATTTGCAGTTAGCTTAGTTGTGATATTTTTGGTTGCATACGAGTGAGGCACACCACAGCGCTTGGCGACAACACAAAACACGTGTTGACACGTGGCACTGTAGCGTTTCCTCAACGTGCTATGCGAACCGCGTTTTTTCTGGCTATGATTCGAATTCGTACAATGACTTTACAATTTCGCCCCTTATTAAAAAATCCCACATAATTTAATATATTTTCCTTCTATTTCCTTTTTGGATTTATTTAAACTTAATTAAATTTGTTTTAAGTCCAATATATTTTTCATTTTTTTCTTTATTTGGGGGAGAAAGTCGGATACCCTCCATTAGTAATAAAAATGACGGAAACTTTTGCGCAAAAATTAATCACAATTTTTTGCGCACACACATACGTACATAAAAATGAAAAATAAATGTAAAAATAATACATTCATAATAGATAATAATATGTATGTACAAAATATGTCTAACAAATGTGTCAGTCAGGCAAAGTCCTATAAAAGTCAGAATAAATAACAACATAGGTACAACTACGGCGCTGGAGGACGCAGATGATGAGGAATGTTCATCATGTCAAAGAACTGCGTAGAACGAGGAGTATGCTCTCCACCAGCTCTAGCCTCTCCGGGAGGAGGGAAGCTCAACTCAGGGCCCGTCCGCCCAAGGTCGCCGTGGTGATGAATAAGCAGAGGCGGAGGTTATGGAGGCTGCTGCGACGATGAGCCACCTCGTACGTCCCACCACCTCTCGGAGCTAAAGTCGCCTCTCCCTGGCCTATCGGCCCAGCATGTGCACTCTCTGATGAAGAGCCTGAGCCCTCTACCGCCTCGGTACGGGCAACATCTGATCGGCCACCCCAACCACCAGAAGTAGTGCGGCAACGCCTTGAGCTAGACCTAGCCGGCTCTCTCCGAACCTCAGGTCTCATCCGAGTATGGAAAGGAATAGGCTGTCCCTGCAAGAAGAAATCAAGTCAGAGGCAACAAAAATATAAATATAAACAATGCAGAAATAAAAGGAAAAAAGCTACCTCCTGAACAGTGTTGTCGCGCCGACAGTAAGCCACATTCCTCATCCGCACGAGCTCACTCTGGAAGGCGTCTATGCACTTCGCCATCGCCGTAACCACCTTGCGCGAGAACTGTTAAAGAAATAAAATCAGTAACAATGCAAGACAGATATAAACAAATAACAAAGTATATAACTCACCCGAGTCTGGTGGCGAGGGATAGATCGCTCAACAAAACTCTGATCCTCGGGAGCCGTAGGGATCATCTCCTCAATAGGCTCGTATGTCCCCTGAGACTGGATGGACATACGAGGGGTAACGAACTCAGTAGGCTCGGCCTGGCAAAAAGCAAACCAAAGTGAATAAAATATCACCCGGGGGCTACTTAGCAAAAAGATAAATGATAAAAATCATACCCCCGCCTCCTCAGACAGAACAGGGGCCGGAGCTACTAACGACAGCAAGTCCTCCTCGTAGCACCGCCTTGAGCTAGCATGAGATCGCCAAGGTGACCAACAGGCGTCCTCCCCGATAAGCTGAGCAGCCTCATGTCATCGAACATATGACGTGGCGGAGGAGCAGGGACGACTAAAATCTCTAAGGAGTGCTGAATAGCAAACCTTTCTCCTAGGTACACCGCCGCCTCATACGTCCCCTGGAAGTAGCGACGCTCAATAGTGTACTGCGCAGCCAGCGCAGGAATGACTAAACCGCCCTGAGGCAGTATAGCACGTCAGGCTCCTGCAAAGAATGATTATAAGATAAAGCTCTACCAAAAGCAATACAAAGATGCCAACTATGCAAAATAACATACCGAGAGGATCAGCTCTCGAACGCGGGCAGTAGTCGCCCGGTTATTGTAGCGGCCTTTCCAACAGGCGCCAACAGGGAACTCGAGTGGAGATGGCCTCGCTGGCGCGAGCGAAGGAAAGTACTCGTAGAACCAAATCTACAAAATATAAAAAGATATCAGCATAGGCCAGAAAGAGCGATGTCTCCTATGTAAGACCGGTGTCGATAGGAGTCTCACAATCCTCGCAGAAAGTCAGCATAGGCCAAGCTGGCCCAATCATAAGTCCCGATTAGTTGAAGATCGCAGACAGCAGGAAGGTAGTAAAACAACAGCCTACTACCCTTGTTAGGGGAAAACGCCTCTAACAGCAAAATAAGTGCAAAGATGTGCACCCGCTGCTCTCGAGTGGTCGCATCATCTTCGAAAGCCATTACCAGAGTTGACCGGTGAATGCACCTGGCGCTGAAGCGTGATGGCTCCACCTCAGCACGGGCCCGAAGAGCAATCGGAACCAATAGCTCATCGACCTTAGTAGAAAAAACACTGATAGAGCTGTCAAATGGCAGCACGGTCGAACTAAACTCCAGCCCCGAGATGAGACTAAAGTCGGTTGGGGTGGCCATCATCTCACCCCAAGGGAAGTGGAAAGTGTTGGTGGTATCCCAGAAGAACTCCACCAAAGCACGAACCACGTCGTGGCTCGCATAAAACAAGTACATGGCCTGCGTAGCCCGAAACAGGGCAGTCAACCCACAAGACTCCTAAAGAAGTCACAGCCCCTCGTCACCACTAAAATACTTGTTGTACAGCTGTCCCAGGGTGTCATTGCCCGAACCGTGGCAGCGCATCCTACCGCTAGTAATCCAACGATGCACTCTCTCTGAAATATGGTGCTATGGGGCAAAGAACAGTGTCCGCTCGTCCCACTCGGGGAAGGGACCGAGTGAGGTGGACGGATCGGCGTCCTCCTGAACGGGCTCATGCTCCCGTCGCGTGTCTCGGGACCGGGAACCGAAACCTTGCCGCCTAGCCATACTACATTGTGCAGAATTGACAAAAATTAAGGTTCTATAGTATCTAAGGTTTTTCTAGCCGCATGATACTATGTTCGCAAAAAAACAGGGTACGTAGTACTAAAACAGAGCACAATTTCAAATCAAGCATATACGGAATTTTTCAAGCAACCAAACCATTTATTGAAATATTATGATAATTATTGTGACAAATTGGACAAGAATTGCTAGCAAAAACATCAAGAACGAGCCACATTTTTTTCCCGACCTTAAGAGGTTCAACAATGGTGAATTGTTCGTTTCTTCACCAAATTGAGTCAAACAAGTCTCATAATACTCCCAAGGCAATATATAAACATAATCAAGAAATTTCATGGCATAAAATTTGACAAACAAAGTGAATTGGGCAACATAAGTTTTGAATTTTCAAGAAATTCGTAAACAAACATGAACGAAACTCATCAAAATTCGAGTGAGTTTGGAAAAAACTTACATAGATCAGCAAACTAGATGAACAAAGCTTTGATTTGCAACAAATTTGAGCGAATTCGGTTGAAAAACGAGCAAGAACAAGCAATTCGAAGTTTTCGCGGCGAACTCGAACGAAAATGAAGCAGTAGCAGCAACACGGGGAAGAAAATGGGATTTATACAAAATTCCCGACTCAAGCGTCGCACGACAACTCTGTTGTCGACCGACAGAGTGCAGCGTTGGCGATAGGGAAATCATCTCAGAACAACTATTTTGTCCTCGTATAGCAATTTTCGGTTCCTTGATACACCATTTAGCCCCTATAAGCAATTTGACATGATTTAGTAATCGGCTTGGTTACAATCGCATTAAGTGATCGACCTAATAAATGATCGTCTCACTTAGCTTAAAGCGCCTAAACATTGGCTCACTGCAAAGACACCAACATAATGGTTCATAAACAACAGAAGCACCGACATACTGGTTCACAATTCAGAGGTACCGACATACTGGTTCACAAGCAGCAAAAGCGCCGACGCATTGGCATAGCAGGAGAAAAGTTCAAGCGAACTTTAAAGGATCGACAGGCCTTGGTCTTTGGTGATACTCTTCAGAGTATTATCGCAACAAATGAGGATAGCTTCAGGCGAAGCAATCTTCGATCATGTTCCCTGGCTTGCGGAAGATGGTCACAAAGCGCTAGGAGGTCGTTTCAGGCGAAGCAATCTTCGATAGGGTTCTCTAGCTTGCAGAAGTCTATCACATCGAAATTGGAGGCAATTAAAGGCGTAGCAGTCTTCATACGGTATCCCCTAGCTTGAGGAAGATCGTTAAAGCAGCAGGACGGCGTTCCCCAGCTTGTGGAAGTTGTCACAACAATAATGCAACAATCGGTTACTTCCAGAGACGTGTGCTCGACGGTGTAAGATACGCGTTTCTTAACTCTCTTATCTGTTTTAACTAATGCTAGTTTGCAGGTATCGGCGTTAAAAGAATGATTTAGGATCGCAGAACGTTCTGAATTATTCTTCGTCCTTATCGATAATTTGACTTTTGTTTTCGAAACTTAAGTTTCTTCAAACTCAGTCAAAGTGGGGGCTTCTGTAGACACCCATTTGTGTCTCCCCAAAACCAAACCCAGTGATGAATACCTTTCATGTCGAATCATAATCGAATGAAGTGAATGTGGAAAGTTTAGTGTTGCGGTTAGCTTTTTAGTTCTCTTCTTTCTCTCTGTTTTTAAAAACCTATTTTATGAAAATAGCAAATCTGGTTTAGTTTGGTCCATGGCAAGGGTCCAATAATAGTGTAGTTGGATTGAGCTCAAAAACAGATTTCCAACAATATATTATAAGCCCAATTCCGATAAATAATGAGGAAGTTATGGCCAAATTACTAAATTGAGCCTAGTTTGATTTTTATATACGGCCCAATGATCTAGAGGAGGGCCTATTATGATTTAGCATTCCTAATGCAATTAGGATTGATTATAGTCTCCTAGAATCTTCTATAAGGTTATTTTAAATCCTAATTTGATTAGCATTGATAATTAAGTTTTAAGAGTTTTATTTAGAATAAAAGAAGTGTTTTTAAGGAAATTACAATTTTACCCCTTCGTACGTTTAAATTTTATCAAAGTATGTGATAGGCTTATCGCGTACCTAACAAAAATAACCTAACTATTCCTTCTAACTGTGTAGTAGGGCAAGTAAGGATCGAATCCCAAGAGACTATGGTTCATTCAATTAATCAGACTCAATTAATCACTAAGCACGTCACCAATCAATAATGGATGATAATAATCAACTAATATATTAAATAACACAATTAACTAGAGGAAATATTAATCAATAAACTAAAGCATCCAAGATCAAGCATTACCACGATTATGATTGATAAACTAATAAATCTACCCCCAATATATAAATCAATTGACAAGAAGAAAAGCAATCCCTAATAATAATACCAAAGGTCTCTTCCAAGTTATCAATGGCTTCCCAAATTAACTATCAAGCCTACTTCCGTGGAATCAAGCGAATAAGGGACATTAAACACCATGCCTAGATTCCTAATTATTCAATCATCTACTTCCGTGATGATCTTCAAACCCTTAATTGGAATAACCTAATCCCATTAATACCCAACTTCCGTTGCAATAAGAACAAAGGGATGATAACAATACTAATTATTCCTAATCTAGTATTGGCATAAACACAATCAATTAAGCATGTCAATTGGGATTATTATTGGGGAATTTAAAGTTTTAATTCATGCATCAATCATAATTGGGCTACCCTAGATCTTGGAATAGAAAATCTACTCACACATATTGAAAGAAACAATAACAATCATGAATATGGAAAACATAATTGAAAAGCAATTATAATTGAAAGAGAATGAAGTAGAAGTGAATACCAAGGATTCTTCAATTGAAAGGAATTAAATTGTTGAAAAACAATGCTCAAATCTAATGGAAAGAATTAAAATTGCTTCAAAGTAATAAACTAGAACTCTAGAGAGAGAAAGAGGAATAATGGAAAACTTAAAACTTCTTTCTAATGAAGATTACAAGGGGTATTTATACCCTTAATGACCTAAAAATAAGAAAATAATAATACGGAGTGTCGCATAACTGTGCCCGGTCCAACCGGGCAAGCACCTCCCGATCGGGCGGTGAGAGTACGGAGTTGCTTTCCTTCGTAGCACTTCTTCCACCACGTGCCCGGTCCAACCGGGCTGACCTTGCCCGATCGGGCGCGTGGGGCGGTCTTCATAAATTGCTTTCTACCTTCGAAAATACCAAAAATCATCTAACTCCTATGTGCCCGGTCCAACCGGGCGGACCATGCCCGATCGGGCACGTAGAGGCTGCAGCAAATAGTTTGTATTTAACTCATCTTAAATCAGTCATAACTTCATA